TGGATGGAACTAGAAGAAACCATTCTGAGCGAGGTAACCCAGTCACAAAAAGACAGGCATTGTATGTACTCACTCATATGTGGATTTTAGACATAAGGTAAAGGATTGCCAGCCTGCAGCCCAGGCTCCTGTAGAGGCTGATAAACAAGGAAGACCCTAAGAGAGACATACATGGTCCCCTGGAGAAGGGGGAATTGATGTGTTTTTAATGGCTGTTGTTATCGTTGTTTGAGTTCCCCTTACCTTGGATGTAATATATAAACAAACACTAGGAAGCCCTTGACATGATTTGTCTTTGGACATAAGACAGCATCTCCTATGTGGATAGGAGAGGATGAAAGAATGGTTCTCTTCCATAATCTTCCTAAGAACACAAAGCAGAAGCTATAAGCAGAAGGTGCCCTTTACAAGAAGAAATTTTTATTTGATTTCTTAATTGTACTCATAGGATAAAAACGCTTGGTCCCCAGACTGATAGCTGGGAAACCAGCATGGACTGATCTAGACCCCCTGAATGTGGGTGTCAGTGAGGAGCCCTTGGAAATCTTTGGGGCCTCTTGTAGCGGATCAGTACTTATCACTACCATAGGAATGGACTTTAAGAGCCCATCCCACATGGAGGGATACTCCCTGAGCCTAGACACAAGGGGGCTGGCCTAGGCCCTATCCCAAAGAAAATGACAGACTTTGAAGACCCCCCCTATGGAAGGCCTTACCCTCCTGGGGAGGAGAAAGGGTATGGGATGGGTAGGGTGTTAGTGGGGGGCAGGGGAGGAGGGGAGGAAGAGGGACCTGGGATTGACAGGTAAAATAATTTTCTTTCTAATAAAAAAAAGAAAAATGTGAAAAGAAGAAGGAGGAGGAGGAGGAGGAGAAGGAGAAGGAGAAGGAGGAGAAGGAGAAGGAGAAGAAGGAGAAGGAGAAGGAGAAGGAGATCAGACTCTCTGGTTTTACTTGGCTAAGTATTTTCTTTCCAGCCAGACAGGTAAATTCTCAGGTAGAGGACCAGAAGAGGAAGGAACAAATAGAGCCCGAGAACACATGTTGAGAGACAGAGACAGGAGATTTTACACCTGCTGCTGCTTGTTTCTACACAGGGAACTTGGAGCTTGATACGAACTTCAAGAGTGATGCTCCTCTTGGCTCAGAATGCCAAGACCTTGCCAAGATCCCCGATCATTAAAACAAGAATCCAGCAGATCGATACTGAACATCAGTGGGTACCAGACCCAGAGTTAGAGGCTTGATGTCTGGTCCTGATTCAATCTTCATCTTAGGCAAAGCATGTGGAGGATGAGCATGGAATAGGTGACTATTGCGGCTCCCCCTGTGCCTACAGAATATTGACATCCATGCAGCAGCCCCAAAGTGTGAGCCACTAATTGAAGCCTTGTTTTGTTTGGGAAATATAAAAGACAACGCTTCGTGTGCCATTCTTTGAGCACAGCCCCCAACTGATGCCCAATGCCACCTTCAGATTAAGATTTTTATCTTCTGGGGTCTATTCCTGGTTGATTTTCCTGGCCTCAGACTGCCAGGGCCCCTGCTCTCTTCCCATCCTCATACCAATTTTCCTTTAGGAGGACTTGACAAACTCACTCATTCCAAGGAACAAATAACTGACAAGAAAACAAATAAAACTTTCCATGGCTCTTTACGGTTTTGCTAAAGATGTCATCTTTGTTGATCTTCAACTATGAGAGCAGAGAAATTATTGAAAAATTTTAAGTAATTGAATAATTTCAACAATTATGATTAAGAAAAATAATGTTTTTGACATCTTTTGATGTATTTTGGTTTAGGTTTTTTTTTTCCCCATTATGATGCCACAGGAACAATAGCTGCTTCTGCTAGCATGTGGTTCTGGTACTCAGGGTGAAACCAAACAGTAAATATTTAATGGATTCTTCCAAGCATGAGAGCTTATTAGAATGACTTTGTCCTATTCTCTCATATAGCCACACATCCTGGAAGTATTCCCAGGGTACAGTAGATGCTTAATAAATATTCATTGAATGAGTAAACAGACACTATACTGTAGGAAGAGAGCTGGGAAAGCAAACAAGCCAAAGTTCCTTATCTTAGGGAACACACACAAGCACTCAAATGTAAAAAATCAACATGAGAGATGTCACACAGCAATATGCAATTGTCCTTATTTTCCAAATGCAGAAATATAAAAAATGAAAAATAAACTTGTATAATTAAATTGTTTTACAATAAGTATTAAGATTAAAGAACTTAAGGGGGGAATGTTCCATCCAAAAATCTAAGTAGATCCTACTGGCTGCCGAGGTTTCAGAGTGAGATTGATTACAGGTCATTAAATTGATTATTATATTGATCTATCAGAAACACATACTCACAGAATACTTGTCCACACTCTTGTAGCCTCCATATTAGAGAAAAAGCACCAGGTTATCTTCCAATTCCAATTTTCTAATACAATGTCTACTGTGCACAGAGGATGAGGCATAGTTGAACCTAGAGAGTTTATGCTAATTATCTTTGCTAACCACTGGGATGGTACCCTTAGGAGTGCCTTGTAAGAACCAATTCTTTCATAGTAAAAAGAATATCCTAATAAATAAAGGCCCCAAAAAAGTCAGATGTATGAACATCAATCATATGCTAAATACCCAAAAGTTGATTATCATTTTTGTAATTGGAAGGCTATACTTAAGACTTTCAGAGAACAGATCTGGTGCTATTAGGAAGTCAGTTTGGTGATTCTTTGCACTTAGAAGTTACACTGCTTGCTTTTGAGTGCAGGCATGGTGGGAGGCAATTTCTGAAAGCCTGTATGATAGCGTTCATGTGGACCACTCAGCCTTTGACTTTGACATCTAGGATTTAGTTCCAGATGTCCACTTCTCAATCTGAAACTTGTAATAATCCAATGTGGAAAAATACTACTGAGAAATGAAGACAAATTACTAATAGAACAGCACTGCTCAAAATCTTGCTCTTATCTTCATGACCAAACTTTTTTTCCAAGTTTTGTAATAATTAAATGACTCCAAATCCCAGGAAACTGGCATGCAAATGACTACTATCCCCTAAACTTTCAGGAGTGACTTCATTGCCTGGAACCCTCCCTTTATGCCTTCATTCTCACCTCCTATTAATTATCTTTCCTTATCAACAATCCCTCTTTCCATTAGATCATATAGCACAGATATTCACAGACATTTTCATAATACTGAAATATATGAAACCTCCTAGTTTACAAAACTTCATTAAATTATTAACAGGTCTATGGGATATATTATACAGAATTAAATATCTACACAGAGACTCGGCAATTGTTAGAAGACATGATATTAAAATGTCCACCTAGTAAATTTCCACTGAGCATTTTAATAATCCTGGGAATGACATTCAACATTTCCCTCTTTTACGTCTATCAGGTTCATAAAACATCGCAATTCAAGAGAGCAACACGGAGTAAATGAGCAAGCCTTAAACCAGACTTGCAGCTCTGACTCCTTTAGCAATCTGTTTATAGAGATCCATGGAGTTATTCATCGGAGGCACACTTTAAAGGTTATCATGAAGTGATCCGTGTCTGCTTTTACAGTACTAATGCGATGCACACTGTTGTTTTCCCTCCCTTAAACAACCTGAGACCTGCCACTTGCATTTAGTTTAAGGTGATCTTACCTGAGAGAGTAACACTGAGAACCAAAAGGACCAGTAAAGAGGCTGTCATGATGTCTGCTTTAGGGATGTGACTTCTTCCTTTCAACCACACAGCATTTCCCCTGGAAAGGAGCAGGGTTCCAAAACAAAATACAAGTGGTTCAAAGTCTAGATGGAACCCAAGGGGATCATGACCTGCTGCCTGAGATGAAAATAGTCACAGGTCGTCTCCCTTCAGTGTGGGTTTCTTAAAGTGCACTCCACTGATGCCCAGTGAGCTGTCAGGTCTTGTGAGGCTAAACAATCTCTGGGTCCTAACTCCTGACTTATTTCACTCTTTTACAGAGAGAGATGGGATGAGAGAGAAGGACGAAGCTAGACAAGGTTAAAATATTCCTTCTCAATATTTCTTGTTTTCTTGTGGTTGTAAATCTGTGTAATGAGAATGCCTGCACTTCCTGGTCTCTTTCATGGAGACTAGTGAACACTGCCCATTGGTAAGTAGCTTTCCACTTTGAACCAGGAGCTCACTAGTGAATATGATGTCCAGCCACCTTCCATGTCTAGTGTGACTTGTGTATCCTAATATTAGACTATCCTTTTGTTCCCTTGAACCTTCTGATCCACCTCCTCCTGGCTGCAGGAGACGAGCTGATGGGCCTGTCATCTCTCTGCTTCTCTTCTGAGGCTGCGACATTGTTCTTCCTATTTCACCTTCTTTGTGGTCGATCAAACAGCTTGCTTTTCTTCTGTATACATGCACACACAGAGGGGCGGGGCTCTGGCAGGTACAAATTTAATCAACGAGCAAGTGCAAAGTTGGAGCCACCTAGATAAGGTAGCCAGAAAAAGAAACTAGTTTCCCAAATGTGACAGATTATGGGGCAGCAGCATTGAGGCACCAAATAAATTTGACTTTACAGGATGGGTGTTGTGCAGTTTTAAGATTTCCATAATGAAGTCTCGTTAATCTTCTACTAGTATGTGTGAGCCAGCTTCCTGGCACTAGGACACATACCTGAGATCAATTACTAGTAACAAAGGAATGATTGGGACTCACACAGTTTTCATTCCTGTGATCAATGGACCCATTACTTCCGGTTTGTGTCCAGGCGGTGCACAGGCAGGAGCATGCAGATGTGAGCAGGAAAGGGTGTCCTGTTACCAGTTTTCAGATGCCCAGATGGTGCTCCGGGTGAAATGTCACAAGATGAAAGGAGCCCTGCCCTAGGAGCCAGAAGACCCAAGCTTGGTCTCCCATCTATCCTCCTGGGGCTCCCTTTAGATGTTCTGGCCGACATCACTCTGTTCCACCCTGCCTGTCTCTGATATGCACCCCAAGCTCCTGCTGGTGGGGGGGGGGGGGGGGGGGCTGGGATCTTTCCAATATTTAAGATTAGTCCTTAAAGAAAGACAGGAAGGGAAGAAGCTATGCTGTCTCAGGAATAATGTGGCTATCACTCACCCTGATGTACAGCAAGAATCCCTGTTCTTCCTGGGAAAATTACATATATGTATACTTGTCATTCCATTATGGGGCAGGAAATTCTCAGCATTAAAAGAATCCTGTCTTTTAATCCAGGACAGCAAAAAAGTCTGGCAGGCTTCCACAGCCCTGTAGCCTACAGTCTGTCTTGACCCCAGTGGATAGGTCAGTGGCCATCAACATAGTCCCTCAGAATTGGCAGCAGCAGCCCCTGGTACCCAGTCTGATGCACAGGATTCTATCAAGATCATAAAGCTCCTGCCTCACTGAGGGCAGCAGTGCACCCTTCCACCCAGGCATGCTAGCAGTGCTCCAGCTTGCTAGAAGGGAACAGCTGGCCTCTGCTCTTGAGTCTTAAGAAGCCCTCTTCTGCCTTCTGTTTCACAGAGGGCTCTTCTCCATCCACCATAACACCTCAACAATCATCCCAGAGAACATAGGCTATGGAGGGAAGCAGGCATCTGGCGCTGGAAGATAAGTTGTCTGTTTATAGCTTCTGCTTTGAGGTCTCTGCAAACACAAAGGCCTGACTCCCTTCCTAAAGGATGGATGGGAGTAAAAAACAGGAACAAAGCACAGCTCATCTCTCAGAAAGCGTCCTCTGAGCCAGGTGTGTACATTCTTCTCACTGCTCTGCAGAGGTAACACACATCCTCCAGGGAAATGCTACATGTGGCCGACCAATCGGAAGTAACCAGCTCTCCATAGTCACTGGAGAGTCAGCAGCAATATTTAGGGCTGAACTCTGTAGATCCCTAGTGACCCAATGTGTCTGATGGTAGAAGAGGCTCTTGTCACACTCCAGGACTCTGGGGCTCTCTCGGACTGCATTCATAAAAGGCATACTTAAAAGGCATACTCACAACGGTGATGAAAGGAAAGTGAAGTGGTATAAAACAGGCACAGTGTCCATTAGGAAAGTAGGTCATACTGAGCAGGTTTTAGACTGTGAGAGTGCTGTTGTCCATCAGCTAATAAGAACTCTCGTAATCAATCAACCTTCCTCATCCAACCGCTGTCAGTGCTCCGGCCCCTCCCTTCTAGTGCACATGAACATGCTTGTACACACAAGTCCACGTCCAACCAATTAGCTACCTTATATTCTTGAACTGAACTGCTACATTTATACTATGAAATCTGATACCATTACACAGGAAAAAAGGAAGTTATCGTGGAAGGTTGTGGATGGTCCCAAAGCATAACTGAGTAGTCTCAGACTAAATGAGTGAAGAATGTAAATGAGACATTGATTGGCAAAAGCACTTCAGCCTGAAAGAAGGCCTCGAGCCATTGGATGTACAGTTCTGTCGCACTTGACACCTTAAAGCAGTGTTTCTCCACTTGCAGGTCTCAATCCCCAAAGACCATCAGAAAACACACTATTTATAACAAACAAAATTACATTTACGAAGTAGCAATGAAGTAATTTTATGATTGGGGGTCACCACAACGTGAGGAACTGCATTAAAGGGTTGCAGCATTAGAAAGGCTGAGAACCTCTGCCTTAAAGGCATGGAAGATGTGTCTCAGAGAACTACATAAATGTCAGTACCAGGTGGCCACTGAGCCAAAGCCAATAGCACAGATTTATCATCCACTGCAGAAGACAGAACCAAAATACAGTCTCAAAGGACTGGATGCTTGGCCCACACTAACCAGAGATAATAGTCTACTTAATGACTAATTTGAAGACTAAATATGTTTTTTTCTGCTGCATGATTTTCTTTAAACAATTCATTAAAACTACTACATTGTGTCTATTAGTGTGTGCACATTCACACACACCTACAAGATACAGCATACATATGGAGGTCAAAGACTTATAGGCAGCCAATTCTCTCCTTCCACCACATGAGTCCCAGGGTATCAAACTCAGGTCATCATGTTTGGCAACAAGTGCCTTTGCCCCCTGAGCCAGCTCACTGACACTCTTCCCAAACTCTTTACACAGTTATACAAACTATACCTCCTTGAGCACTCCATTCAGTGACCGTCCTTGGTTGCAGAGAGTGCTGTGACACAGTCCTGAAGGCTGACATGGAGCAGCTTGGCCTCAGCAGAATCATCTGGCACGTGTGCATTGTTTTGTTTGGTGTAATGTGGTATAAGAAAAAAACGTTTACCCAGGGAGGTCAAGAGGCTGAGAGTCTAGGAAAGGAACTATTAGAAGTGATGGAGAGCCAGGAGCTGAGAGTAGGAAAGGGGTCTGGAGGAGCCATGAGTGTGACAGCTAAGCCCATCACCGCAATCATTCCACAAGCAACAAAACCAAAAAGCCCAGGATGAGTGAGTCATTTAGAGAATCACACAGCTTAATGGCTGCAAAGTCAGGGTTGGAACTGATTCTCCTATAGCCCAACGCTGGTATTTTTGCATGGTTTCCAGAGCTCTGGCTCATAAGGACCAGCCCTGGATCTAAGCACCCATCTGTATTAAAATGATTTTTAAAAACATGCAAAATATGGATAATTCGCTTAGTTACAGTGTGAGGTAGTCTCGAATCCCCAGGTTTCCTCTGCGTTCTGCACTTGTGAGTTACAGCTCAAAGTAGGGATGGAGCAAGAGCTGGGAATATGACAGGCCTCGACAGGCCTCCTTTCGACCTGGGCTACTAAGGGGATGGAGAACATGTCACTACCAACATAGTATTTTCTGTGAGCAGCCAGAAGTGAAAAAATGTGGTTGTTGTTATTGTCATTGTCATCGATCTTAACCATCATTGCTTTAGTGGGAGTCTCACGATGTAGCCCTGTCTGGCCCCGAACTTGCCAGCCAGATGAGGGGGACCTCAAAATCACAGAGATTTGCCACTCTCTGCCTCCTGACTGCTATAACTAAAGGCATGTGCCACTATACGTGGTGAAAAGAAGACAATCTTTAGAAGCATGCCTTACTTCCTAGGCATGGCCATAGAAGTAAGTCAACAGTTAACTGTGCCTTTGGAGTTAAGGACAGTGAAGGTTGGACATGGGACTTGGGAGCCCTCTGGTGGATTGTCGCTAACACTGCAGGTCCACACAGACGCTCCTTGTAAAGGGACATGTGCTTTAGCTTGGATATTAATTTTCCTTACATTTAATAAAAGTAATAAATTCTACCTACATTCTAAACTCTGCACAAGTGGCAATGGGTACCATTCAGCCACTCCATCAATCTACAGGCAGCTCCCAAGGAAGAGACCTTAAAGCAGCTATAGCCCACAGGGTGGAGACTCAAGTGTGGATTCCCTGATGCTATGACCGCACAGAACTCACACCCAGGGCCTGGGGACTGTGTGAGCACCGCTAAGTGATTTGCACAGATGCCCTTCACATTAATCACAGATGGCAGCGTTTCCCAGACCTACCCCAACTGTCCAGTCAGCTCAAAGCAGTAAGAAACACAAATCCTGGGCCCTTTCCTTCAGAGATTGCTGCCATACAACTGGACCTGGACCTGAGGTTCTGAAGAGAGGCCACATCGAAGGCTGCCATCCACTGACTGACATCCACTTCCACGTTAAAGCACCGTAGGGGCCAAATGCCAACAGCTAATGACAGTGGAACCAAGACACACTAACGTCCCACAAAGAGGGTTCGGGAGGGGACTTGTAGCTGTGTGAGCTACAAAAGGTTCTAAAGTGAAAGCTATTGGAAAAGATGATATGTGTGACCTTGGGAGAGGTCTGGGAACCTGTCTGCCTGGTAGAATAGGATATGTCTTGTCTCTCACTCCTCACCTGCACTGACCACCCCCGTGCCGCCCCCCTTTTTTTCTCCCTAATACTTCATTCCTCCTGTGTGAAGGCACATGGCCCTCCATACTGTCACCATCCACTCATTCATTGCACTTCTTCCTATTGAGGTGGCAGTCAGGCCACCATTAATCTACTTAGTAGATCTGAATTATGAAAGGAAGCTTTGTCTGTGACCAATAGACTAGACACCTATTGCGAAGGTGGTCGCTGGCCAAGGGGTCCAAGATGTGGTACCAGATCCTCAAGGAAGAGTACTGAAGTCAACCATCGAGGCCAAACCTGAAGACAGGACAAAAGGGGACCCTCTGGGCATGAAGTAGGAACCAGAGAAACAATGCACTCAAAAGTCAGAGGAGCTGGGGATGGGGGGGGGGGGCGGCAGGGAGGAGAGTCATGAACTCTCTGGATTTCAACACTGTGGGTGCACCCTAGGAACCCAAAGATGCCTTGACTGGGCACTGGTACAAGAATCAGAAACCTTGACTTCTGACATTTAATAACTGTTGTGGCTTCAGATGTCCCTACTCATCAGGATTGGATAAATGGTCAATCCCAGCACCTTGGGAGGGTCTCTGTCCCGGACCAAAATACTTCCATTATGGAATGTCTTAAGATCCAGCCTCCAGTTTCAGTAAACAGGAGTACCCAGGAGCTCCGGCCCACTATTGTACTGCTAATGCGAGCAAGTCTGCTGTTACATACCATGGCCTCAGTGTAGAATGCCTCCTAGTTTGCCTAAGCATTGAGTAGGCCCACGCCTGGGCTGAGAACTCTGTCTACGTGACTAGGAACTGTTTAGGTAATGTTTGAATTAATAGAATCACTTGATATTATCTATATACATCATAATAGATGCTTCCTGATGCTGCCCCTGCCCTTAGAAGACTATTTAAATGGACTTCTCAATAAACCATGGCTTCTCAGCATCAGCTGAGAGCCCTCCTGAGATGACAAGATGCCTGTGTTTGGTCTTTATCACTGTTGGGTTGCTAGGAGTTTCCAAGTCCATGCTCCCCCACTCAGGCCAAACCTCATGGTTGCCATGGGTTGGAGCTGAGATATGCCGGGTCACGACTGGTCTCTTGGGAGCTTTAAATGATACAGCTCACAACCACCCAAAACTCCAGTTCCAGAGGATCCAGTGCCCTCCCCTGACCTCTCTGAGCACCATGTGATACAAATACATTCAGTTCCGTTTCCAGCAAAGACATGGAAGTTCATAACCATGTCTAACACCAGTTGCAGGTTACCTGGTGCCCTCTTCTGGTCTCTACAGACACTGCATGCATGTCACACACACACACACACACACACACACACACACACACACACTCATACACAAAAAATAAAAAACAAATCTTAAGTAAATGCCATAACAGCATATTCTTTTTTTGTAAGACAGGTTGTGTAGCCCTAGCTGTCTTGGAACTCACTCTGTATACCAGACTCACTTCAAACTCACCTGCCTCTGCCTCCTGAGAACTGGAATTAAAGGCCTACACCACTACCACTTAGCATATTTTTTTTAGCTTAGGTGGCATCATGAATAATACTTTGAGAAATTTCAAAATAATGGAGCTTAAAATTGTTTAATGTTACTTATTAATTAGCTTCATAATGAAACATTGGGTAGGTGAGTAAATTTCCTATAAATTATCATTACTCAAAATGTTGTTCTGATTAGCTATTTTATTACCACCCCCATCTCCAACAGGGAGCCTTGTGTAATTATCATGTATCAGGTGATCCATCTCTGTGGTGATAAAGTATTATGATTTAGTAAAGATTGCCTGAAGTGTCAGAAAGCAAAGTCAGCCACACTAGTTATCTGTAGAAGCTAGGCAGTGGTGGTGCACACCTTTAATCCCAGGACTCAGGAGACAGGTAGACAGATCTCTCTGAGTTCAAGGCCACCCTGGCCTACACAAGAGTAAATCAGTCCAAAAGAGTAACAGAGCTCACATCTTTAATCCCAGCACTAGGGAGGTGGAGACAGGAGGATATGGCTGGGCAGAGAAAGGAATATAAGGAGGAGACAGGAACTGAGAGCTTTTGCCTCTGAGGATTCGTGGAGACAGGATTCCATTTCAGCTTGGTAGAGGTAAGATCCACTGGCTTGGCTGCTTTGCTTCTCTTATCTTCAGCTTGAAGCTTGAGCCCCAGTATCTGAATCTGGGTCCTTTTATTTTTCGTGATACACATTTCTTTCCTTCTAGACATCAGGCCCATTGGGTCCTGATGAAGTTCTGGTGAGCCACCTTTCCTTCTCATTCCTCTATTGTTGGAGTAAGGAGCCAGCCTTACCAGGCTCCCAAACCCCACCACTTAGCTGTATCTTTAAGAGCACCCCCTTACTCATCCCTGTCCCAGTCTCTCCTAACCAAAGCGGAAGCCTTTCTTTTGCTCCCCCATCTGCTTGACCCCAGGCTCACCAGCCATTCCCTTCCTCCTCCTCCTCCTCCTACTCCAAACCACATACTGTGACACATCTTTTTCCCTTACTGCCATCTCAGGTAGATCTCTGGGTACGGGACACCCAAAACCCTCTATAGCCAAACATCACCCACCTCTCATCATTCAACTACAAAACCCCACCAAATATATAACCCAGGCTCAATACCCATCCTCTCTCCAAAGCCTTAGGGGACTTACTCTTATTTCTGACCTCTCAAGAATCTTCTGCTCCCCACTTCTTGCTTTAGTACCCCCATACTCACAGTTTAAAAAACCCAGTGGAACCTACCACTTGGCTCAGGATCCTCAACTTATCAACTCTGCAGTGGTTCCCCTTCACCCTGTAGTACCCAAACCCTATACTCTAAGCTTCAACAGGCCCTCTTTCAGGTACCCTACATCTTCTGAGCTTAATTCACCCCTTCTCTCTCCATGTCCTGGACATATCCTCATGGTCCTGGGTCACCAACTGGGACCTTCCTTTGTTTCCATCACATTCTTATAAAAAAAACTGGGCCATACTATCTCAGAATGGGTTCTTAGTCTGCACACTCTAACTGCAGCCAAACTTCTTATATGCTAATCAAAGAAGGTCAACCTCTGGGTCATCCACTACTGTCTTCTCTCCTCACCACCTGTCCCATCTCCTAACATACAAGGATCTCCAAACACTACCCACCTCCCAAGTTCTCTCCCTTCAGGTAGCATTGGAATAGGATGATACACCCAACTCTCAACCATGCCTTGTCTCTACATCGCAGAATGACTCAAGTTCCTAATTTGACTGTCTTAAGGTGTCTACAGATCATTTGTTTCTGCTAGCTTCTGCCACCCACCATATTTGGTTTGAAATTCTTCAGTTGCCTCTTCCCTCCACGTGCTCTAACCATCCTCTCCTCGCCTACTTGGTAAATGTTCTCTCTCTGGCTCCTGGAGCCTGCTGCACCCTCCAGGGCCCCACCATGTAAGAAACTCTCTAGTTATTAAGACATTTATTACTCTCCCTCTATTGGAACCCTCCTTGTTTTCTGGCCTCCTCTCTTTAGGAGCTGCCTGCTAAGCTCTGCAGCTTCCTGAAGCCCTTCTGGGCCTCTGTGACCTTGTCCCTCCTGTCTCTCAGCTCCCACTTGGAGCTTATAGAAAGTCCCTCCAGAGGAGTTCATTTTGTGACCCTTCCTCTCTTCCTCCATGGACCCCAATTTTATTAAAACCTTGCTCGGGCCTCAGCACAGTTCAAATAGCCAAATTTGGCATGCTCGATTTTCAATGATGACAACTTCTGCCACTGTACAAATGATCCAAAACTCTCTTATATTTAAACTTACTTCTTTCTCTATTTCTTCTTATCTATACCTGTTGGGGATAGCTCTTCCAAATGGATGTTTGTCATCCAAGAAACACACCACCTCTAACCAACATCCCATCCAAATAAGGCCTGTAAATTGCTCTATATCAGGCTGACATAGGCTGATTCAGTGACCTCTAAATCCCTTATCCATCTCTCGTTCACCCCTGTGCCTGTTCTATTTTTGTGTGATAATTCCGGTCTTGGAAACAAAAATCATAACAACGGGGTTTATGGTAAGATTTAAAAAAATAATGCTTGTTTAATAAGATATAAGGAGGCACGTGAATGAAAGTCCAAAAGTAAAAAAGTAATTTAGGGTGATGAAAAATATTTCCAATTTCTTTCCCCATTGATGCTACTGTTCTCATGGCTAGACAGCTCACTAGCTGATTGCCAAAAGGAGATACTTATCCCTGTACCACCTATATCAACTTGTAAAACAACTGTCCCCGATGCTTGCTTTCTCTGTGATGGAAATAGAGATTACTGTCGACACTGGCCAGAAGAAACTTATGGGAGGCTGCCATTAGTGATCCTATAGGAGACATGATGCAAATTCAGGAAGGCACGATACCTTTTATGCAGACTGGGTAATCTTTTATATTCTAATTAACGGCCCATGGCACCCCAGATGGGAGATAGGAGTCATTGGTAAACTTTACTATGCCGCCCATCAGGCATACTCAAAACACAGAGTGCACAGCCCACTCTCTCAACCCCAAAGTATAGACACGGCAGAAAAAGTGGTCCAAAGATCCTTACATCCTTAATATCATCCTTATTTGATGATATTGATCCCACCTCCCTGTCATATCATCTCTTGTTTCAGACCTTGGCCTCTGTGTGTCAGCTATTGAACAACTCTTTGTCTGACCACTTTGAAGAATACTGGTTATGTGCCCCTCCTGGGTCAAACTCACAACCATCATTTATGACTTCATCCATTGTCTTATTAGATTCTCTCAGCTCACTGCTGGTTAATTGCTCTGAGCCAAATATCACTACCACCCTTTTTCTCTCCCACATATCTGTCTTTGGTATTGCAGACTGCTTTAGCATATTTGTGGGCACCCTGGATTCTACAGACTGCAATAATAGCATACTCCTCAGTACTACCACCCAGCCCCTATGTCCAAACATTCACAGTGCCACTATTCTCTGTGTGCCCACAAGTATACCACTGCCTACCCACTAGGTGGTCTGGGACTTGTGCCCTGGTGTTCCTTTTTCCAAAGCTATGGGTGACACCTGGTGAAGAACCCTTGCCAATTCCCTCACTGGGCTTATAGAAGCTTATAGCATGACAACTGAGCAATTCAGGCCATACCCTTTCTAGAAGCGCTGGGTATAACCACTGGTGTCACTGGAGTGGCAGGACTGACTACCTTCCTAGCCATTTACCGTCGGCTTTCATCGCAGTTCATCCAGGATCTCCAGTGGGTGGCTCCAGGGCCAAATAGACTTGTTGGCCACCATAGTACTACAAAATTAGTGAGGATTAGATTTACTGAAAGCAGAGAGAGGTGGTTTTTGTCTCTTCCTCGGGGAGGAATGTTGCTTCTATGTTAACCAATCAGGTGTAGCAAAAGATAAGATCTGACAACTCCAGATGGATCTTCAAAAATGTAAGAAACATACCTCTGGCCAGTGGGTCACTGATAGTTTAATATGGAACTGGATGCTACCCTTAACCCTTCTTCTTTTATTAATCCTACTAGCTGCACCCTGCCTTATAAACTTCTTGTATCGATTTCTTCAACAACAGATCCAAAACATTTCTAACCACGCTCTTAACAGTTACTATTACAGGATTACCAGCCCTAGTTACAGAGCCAGAGGCCTGCAGCACCCAATGGCATCCTGATGATGAAGCTCAGGGTTGCTCCAAGCACCTCAAAGTCCCCACCCAACAGAAAGAAGTCTAAGGATAATGTCACCACCCTTTTCAACCCCCCATTGTTTATTAATAAACAAAACATCTGGGGAATGTAGGGTGAAAAGGGCCAAGGAAAAAACATCCTGCCCCTGACTTGACCCCAGGACCAGGGCTTGAAATCCCACCAATCCATGACCACCAATGGGAAAATTCCAACAATCCCAAACTACCCTGGGAAGCTCCACTCCTGCCCCCACCCCACCCCCAGAAACCGTACATAAGCTCTGTACCCTATTCAGCTTGCTGCTGATTCTCACCCTAGAGGCAGCCACCCTCCTGAATTTTGCCTTCCCAATAAATTTCTTGAGTGTGGTTTGTTGTGCAGTGTGACACTTTCACCAGAGTGCAGCCCAGCTTTAACAACTTGTACCAGAGTGTAACTAAGCAGTACTGTAACACTTTCCCTGGGGAAACTTTCCCCTAAAGAATCAGAGTTGCTACACTCCAGGGGACCTGAGCAGAGCTGTTATACTTGCACTGGGGAAACCTTTCCCTGGAACACAGCTATTAGCTGCTTTACAGTGACTTTGCTTACTCCTTGGCTCCCAACTCCCAAGATACCTTTCCATCCGAGCTACAATGTTTACAATTAACATTCACACCTACCCAAACATAAGCCAATCTCATAGGATGCACAGCACTTATGAATACGTAATACTTGATTTACCTAGTGGCAAGCTCATCCTGGTCTTTGGAGCAAGAGCGACTGGGGTCCCCTGGATTGTGGGGTCCCAGCCTTCCTCCCTGGGCTGCCACTTTTGCTTCATTGTGTTTCTTCCTGAAGCACCCTGTTTGTTGTCCTGAAAAGACAGCTGTATTTTCCCTCTGGAGTTGGCCACCCAGAATTCTTTATCATTAGATTTGGCCAACACCTCCAAGACCTGCATCTTCCTCCTGTTAAGGAGCTGGGGTTTAGCTTCTGCCCACAGATTCTGGTCCAAAACCCTTGCTTGTCCCTCCAGGAAAGTTTTTTCCCACAGGAATTGAGATTGTGCATCTCCTTCTTTGGAGGCTTTCATGTCTTCCAGTTTGTCTTGGTCCGGTGCCACTGGTTTCAGCTCTTCTCCAGGACCCTCCTCTCTAAATGATGTGGGGCACAGTATCTGCACTGGATGTCTAGAATGGGGCTTGATCTTCTTGCCCTGCAAAAACGTAGTTTCTTCAAGAGGAGCAACATGTCTGCTGTATCTGAAAAGTCCCCGTGGCTGTCTGAATCCTTCTATGTCCCCTTCTTCCAGATGGTCCCGCCTCTGATCCTCCGGGTTCTTTTGTGGCTGCCATTTCTTGCTTGGGTTTTTGGTGTTCACAACCACCTCTTGCTCCAGGAACTGCTTGGTGTCTACAGGGTTTGGGGCTTTTTCTGTTTGCTTTCTGGCTTTGCTAAACAATGACACTGTTCTCCTTTTCGCCTGGGCCTCCCATGCTGTTATTACTTCAGGACTATTCTTCAGCAAACCCACGTGCCCAGCAAATGTCCACCTGTTCCCACTGTCTTCAGCAGAGTCACCTGGAAGATCCCTTTTGGAGACTACATACAGACAAACTTTAGGTTCAGGGGAATGGCACTCACTAGCAGAGTTTGCAAGCCATGGAAGATGTTCTGGATTCTTCTTGTCATGAGAAAGCTGAGTCACCTCTTCCAGGCTAGGCTGCATATTACTCAGAACCCTTCTACTGTCTGGGACAGTCCTGAGGAATTTAGTCTCCTGGGCTGACAAATAAACCCTAGGGACAAGCCTAGAGCCTTGCCCCACCAGTCCTTCACGGGACCCAGTATATTGAAGTCTCCTGTTTTTCGGAAAGTGGGAGACCAATTCTTGGGAACACATGTCCTCCTCTCACCAGAGATTTACCTTTCCTAAGTCCTATCCTGAGGGCAGTAGACCTCTCCTAGCTACAGATGCTTTCTCTCTCTCTCTCTCTCTCTCTCTCTCTCTCTCTCTCTCTTGCAACTCCAATACAAGTCACTACTTCGCACAGTTTTTACAACCTCTGGTATCCACACTGTACTGCTGCCCCCAGGGGTTAGTGGACTAAAGGGCCCTCTAACATCACAAAGCAGAATGTTGGGCTACCTGTCTCTTTATGATGCAGTGGGTGGGGCTAAAGAGAAGATGGTTGCACTCAGGCTGGACCCAGTATTGAGTGTTCTGTTCTGAAGCCTCTGTCACTCCAGATGTTAGGAATGGCAACATCTAGGAAAACGACCCACAAATGGAAGGGTACAGGCATGCTATGAGTGGGTGAGAGGAGGCCTGTGACAGACAGTCAGGGACCAGGAAGAGAGACCTCTAGGGAGTTAGAGGGTCCATGAGCTGACTTCTAAGGACTTGTCATCAACATCAGTTCCTTCTACTCTGTATAGCCCCTTGTCAAGGAGTAAAACAACACTCACTTCAGAGGATCAAAAGGAGAAGTTTATTCTGGAATAAAATATAAATGACCACGGTCCAGAAACATCGACGTTGGTTTCCCCAAACATCATTTTCCAATGAAGCAGCCATTTTGTGATGATTTATGGAAATAGAACAAAGAAGACCAGAAGTCAAGATGCTTTGCAAGCATACTCATGGAAACAGCAGGCAGGCAGACTACAGCAAAGCACAGAAGTCTCAGCTCTCGGCCTCAGGTGCTGGATAATGACATTAGTTTTAGGGTTGGAGGAAGCCTGTTAATACAACGAACATTCGCTTGATAGTCACAAGGATATTTTACCAGACAAAAGGCTGAGCAAGGAATGGCTAATAAGAGGCAAAAGATGGTCCTTAAAATAAACTATAATTAGTCTCCAGACCTATAATGCTCCAACCTCTCCACAAGCATTTTTGATAAGAGTTAATCAGCCTCAAGGAAGGTTCTGTGTAAGTTGAAGTTTCATTCCAGAACTTATACACCCCAGACCCTACACTGGGTCAATGAAGACTGTACTATGTGCATCCCCTCAGGTCATGCCCAGTATACCTGACCATAGTAGGTTAAAATTGTCTTGCTGATGGAATTCCCAACTTGTTTAAGGATCTGATCACTATGGAGCTCAACACCGTGCAAACACATAAGCAAGCCATGGCTCACCCACTCATTACTGGTGAAATAGCAGAAATGAAACCAGTTCATTCCAGATTTCATGGAACTATTGTATTAGTGGGGGAGAGAGGGTTAAGACCCAGACTCAGTAAAAGAAGCCCTTGAGAGTAGAGGATTTCTCCCATGGCCATCGTGTTTGCTGGTGAGAAAGTGCCTGACATTTACAACTGAAGGAAGAAAGGTTATTTGGGCTCAGTATTTGAGAGCTGTAGGCCCAGCTTACAAGAAGGAGAAGCTCATACCATGTGGCCAGGAAACAAAGAGGGAATGCCTCATCCCCAGGCAACACTTTCAAATCTGTATTTATCAGGATCCTCCAGGGGAACAGAACTGATAGACGGACATATATTGCTAAGGGTATTCGTTAGCTTGGCTTACAGTGAGTAGTCCAACAATGGCTGTCAGATCACTGGGGAGGCTGAGAACCCAGTAATTGCTCAGTGTACAGAGCTGCATTCTGCAGGAGCTTCAGTCTGGTACTGTAGGTCTAAAGAATTCCTGGAGAGCCACTGATCTTCAGTCCACATTGAAAGACCAAGAAGCTGGGTTCTAATATCAGCAGACAACAGTGGCAAGCTAAGGCACCAACAGAGTAGATGCACTCACCAAGAGGTGGAGGCAGCCAGGAAAAGGCAAAAGCTTTTCATCTGACCTCCTTATAACTAGCTAGGTCCCTCCAGACAGCGCCACCCATTCTGAGACTTCCCCATTGACTTCTCCATTGACTTCCCCATTCAGTCAACCCTGCCGGAAAATACCTAGAAGTCCTTTGCCCCACAAGCCAATCTCTTGGTTGATTCCAGATCTGGTTAACTTGACAACCAAGATTATTTATCCTATCATCCCTTAGACTCAAGTGTAAACTGACACTCATTTCAGGAAGCAAAGGCTGACCCCTCACCACAACGGCCCATGACTGATGAGGCATGTCCTTCTGTATATATTTTTCTCTGATTGGTTGATGAATAAAACACTGATTAGCCAGTAGCCAGGCAGAAGCATAGGCAGGGCTATCAGACCAGGGGAAGGCAGGGGAGGGGAAGGAGAGAGAGACCGCCAGGGAGAGACACCATATAGCTACCAGGAAGATAGGACGCCGGAAGTTCTCCGGAAAGATAAAACCATGTAGAAATACATAGATTAGTAGTTATGGATTAATAATTAAGAGAGAGCTAGCCAGTAAGAAGCCCTAGCCATCGGCCAACAGTATACAATTAATTAAAGTCTCTGCAGGACCAGGCGGGAAATAATCTCCAGCGCACATCACAGTCAGCACTTCATGAACAATGCATCTTAGGACAAAGCTTTGACCTTTCTTTTAGTCCTCTTCTGTTTAAAGCCAGCCATTGGTTACAATGTTAAATAGGCTGGACTTTCTACTCAGTAAATGATCCTCTGACCAAGCTCATAGTGGCATCAACCGAAAGCTTATGACAAACACAGGACCCCTGTGCTCACTACAACAGTCAAGAAAACTTCTCAGGCAGTTCATACACATTCGAAACAGAGACTGGTGAATATGGGAATCCAGTGTCCATGGTCATCAGGGCCACCTCGTTTTCATCCCAGTCCTCCTCACACTTTCATCAGCAGTGTACCTGCAGTTTCCTTGTTCACATGATATCATGTAGGAAATGTTTAAAGTCTGTGTCTTGCCATCAGGATAAATCCCCTGCCTCAGTGCTCATATTTTCACTCAAGGTTGGACCTAGTCAATTTGAAGAGCTCTCTAAATACATCACATGACTAATTCCCACAGTTTCCTCTTCCATCTACACTCACACAAATTGTCACCTCTTTTACCACAGGCTACATGAATGCCTCCTTTTCCAAGGCTTTTACTATAGTTCTATTTTAATCTTTTCCTGATTAATTGTATTCATGTAGTGATAGATAACCTGGTAAAACTCCCAAGAAGCATGGCCCACAGCTCCCACAGCAGGGTAAGTACCTTAAAGAAAGGTGACAAGGTTATTTTGTTACATAGGAATGAGAAAAATCCCTGCCCTTCCCTGGGTGTCTATCCAGCCACTCAGAGTGTGGTTGAACTTTTACAGACTCTTCCCTGGAGTTCCAGAGAGTAAAAGCAGTGGGAATATGTACAGCAGCCAGGGACTGCTGCCTTTGGAGAAAAGAACCGTGTTATCTGCATAAACCACGGGTGATGCAGCCTACCTAGGGTCCAGCAACAGCTCAACTCAGCATCTTCCTGCAACTGGAGAGCTGAAGAGATGAGCAGAGCACCTGCCAGAGATGGTTCTTGAGGTTCTCCGGGGGTTGTGTGGAAGTACTAACCAAGGGACAGACATCTACAAACTGTTATCTCCTAGTGTGATTGACACTGTAGGATGGCAGCTCTGATCCCCTCCAAGTGCAAACAGGAGGCAAGAAACTGAGACACATTAATCCCTTTCCCAAGCAAGGGATCATGCTGCCTGTCACACGCATGGCCACTCTAACTTCCCAGAATTGATACTTAAGGTTAATACGATAGGGTGTAGGAAGAGACTCCCATACCTGTACCTGTGGCCACGCCTGGTACAGAAGGCATGTGGAATAAAGGGCTGAGAGAGGGGGCACAAGCTCTCTTGGTCCCTGTTGGGTCAGAGAGCAGCCCTAGTAGTCAAGCCAGGAAGTGCTGACAATTATTCCCCCCTTGGGATCTAACTCATCTTAAAAACAGTGCTGGTTATTGCCTGGAGATGACCACAAGCAACTCAGTAACTGCACTAAAGCAATCTGTGAGAAATTATCATTGCAATAACATATCCCATCTCTGAGAACAATATGCTTTTAGTACATTGATTTTTGGTCCTTGTCCCATGTAAACATCCTAACATTACAGTCATGGTATGACTTACATTGTGCTCTTTTCCTATAATGGGCAAAGACTCTTCAGGTTTCACCAATGACTGTATGCTGTTTGTGGGAGAGGGGGAACCTGCCCATTCATATTAGCCTGTTTTTTCTTAACCATTTCTGTTGCGTTGATTGTCTCTTATTTTAATAGTATTATTTTAATTGTTTTTTAGGATTTCAAATGTAAGGACTGTATTATTTCATCTCCCCTTCTTCCTCCAATTCCTCCCACTCCTCAAATTCACAGCCTCTAGTAATTATGATGGCCTCTTGGGAGCAGCTAACCTGGCAGTGGTCTTGTCCCTGGAGAAAAATGTTTCTCCCTCTTCCAACAACCATTGATTGCCTGTAACTCTTCTTCTATGGGTAAAGCCTTTGTGAGTTTCCCTCCACCCACTCTGGCATATCAATTGGGGTTGCCATTCTTTAGTTCTTGTTTGAGCAACCACACTGTTGAGATTTCTTTGGTTCAGCTTTCCTGACTCATAGGACATCATGTCAAAGCAGATATCCTGCCCTGATCCTCCAGCTCTTGGGTCTTTCAGCCCAAATTCCACAATGTTTCTCTGAGCCTTAAGTGTAGGGGCCGTGTTGCAGATGTATCACCTGGGGCTGGGCACTGCACTGTCATTGTTCTCTACATTTTGATCGGTTATGATTTTCTGTAATGATCTCTGCTGCAAGAGAAACTCCTTAGTGGTACACAGGGCAC